ATATCGTTTATATTTTTTATTTATTTTATATTATTAATTTTAATTTTATATTGTTATTTTTATATTGTATTTTATTGTGTTGTAAGCCACCCCGAGGCTTCGGCAAGGGGCAGCATAGAAATGTTCTAATAATAATAATAATAAAAATAATAAAAATGCATACATATTATGAGCTCCTTTTTAATTATGACACCTGCACTTGTCCTGCCCCAACCATAAATTATTTTGATCTTGTTTGGGGATTTTAAACAATTCTGTCTTGGACTCTCTGCAATTGAATGTTTACCTAAATATTCTCCTATCTAATTCTGCATTTCTTGCAATGTTCAGCCCCAAATCTATCTCCTAATTTTGCCAGGGAAAATTGCTTCCCCTCCTTATTGCATATCTTAAAGTGACAGATTCTACTGTTCAGTCCCTTATTAGAAGTTGATAAAAAGCATATAAGTCAAGTCACATAGTGGCCCATACTTCCATCTCAAAGGGCTAATTGCATGTCTAATCCAAAAACCTTTGGGAAAAAAATCTAGGTAGAATTAACATACAATTGCTGTACTGTATGACGAAATTTTAATACCTTACTGTGTGTGAATATTTATTCTAAATCCACAGGACCCCTGTATCCTCTGTCTCAGTTACTGCAGTTTCATTTAACTGAGGTTGACTGTTGGCCCTCAACATTTGAGTGTGTTAGGGGTGCAGGACACCACAAAAATGGAAGACGCAGATATCGCTAAAGAAATGTGCACTCTGTTTGGGAACCTCATGCTCTTTGTCTCAGTACTAGTGAGCCTCATTTATTTGTTTTGTCTCTCAGTGGGTGTGAAGACTCAAGAGATATTAGCTGTTTTTCCCTAGAGATACAGTTTTTCTACTTTTGCAGGGGTCCTGCACCCCTAACTCCTACAAATGTAGCATTCATCATCTTTGCTAAAAATCTTTTCATTGTAGCAATAAGATGTACTGGGGACAGGCAGAAAGTGAATTTCCCTTTGTATTGTCAACAATAGTTTTCATATGTGCTCTATTTAAATATTGTTCTATATCTTGTTTGGGGGGTTACTTATAAGAAATAATACTAATGTTCTATTGCTGTATCATGGAATCAGTTCCATTCCATCTATCATTCTTTTGTCCCATGAACAAATGATTTGGATCTTCATCTGTGAAAAGTTTACTCTCACCTTTCTGTATGTCTCATATGGAAAAGTCTCCATCTTTTGATTGAACCTGGGTGTCATTTCATAGCAGATAGGATACCTTTCTTGAGAAGGGATATGGGAATTCTCAAAGAATTCCCATTGAGATATACATTTTTTGTGCTGTTTAACAGATGTGTTGGATTTGAGCCAACTTATGTTTACATTTACTTATATCTGACTTAATGTGTAATGCTGTACATGGAAACTCAGAAGTCAGTCTCTTTGAATTTACTTCTTAGTAAATTTGTATCTGATTGCAGTCTAAATATGGATCCAGCTCAACAAAAGCTGTTCAGATGAGAATGCATAACATGAAAATAAGCTGACACGTATTCATTCCTTTAGACTGGTAGAACAATATGCTGGGGGAACCAATTAGGAAGTTTATGGATCTCCCACTCTGGAAAAATTCAAAATGTAGCTACGTTCAAGATGCAGCTGGACAGCTATTTGTTTGAGGTGCCTTAACTTGGAACCCTGCATTGAGTAGGGAATTGGATCTGATAGCCTTATTGGCTCCTTCTAAACTGTACTGATCTTATGATTCTATAAGCATTGGTGGCTAATTTCATCAGTGTCTCTTTTTCTTTGTTCTAGGTGCGGGTACTGCAAAAAGAACTTTTGGCTTCTACCTCTGAAGATACCCATCCGTACAAAGAGGAGCTGGAGACTGCTTTGGAGCAGTGTTTTTACTGCTTATATAGTTTCCCAAGCAAAAAGAGCAAAGCACGGTACTTGGAAGAACATTCCACACAGCAGGTGAGATAGTCCAGTGTGCCCTCAGAGAGAAAATGCTGATGTACAAAGATAGGCAGGCCTCTCTCTGGACCTGATTGTACCAGGAGCTAGAACACAAGAGCTTTGTTGGCCATCTTGGGCTGGGCAACCCAGTATGCTCCTAGTGTTTGGGACTGTAGCCACCATAATCCTTAACTGTTGGCCAAACTGACATAGTGATGGGAGATATCCAAAACATCTGGAAGACACCACTTCATTCAGTTTTCAATTGTGATACTTCTCTTTGTTCTCAAATACGTGCCCGTATTTGCAAGACAAAGTCTGAACAATGGCTTCAGCAGGTCCATTCTCCTGGGACTTTGGAGTCAAGATTGTTTTATACATGGGTAGCATAGCAAAATATAATGAAATTGGGCTTCCCCATCTCAGGCAGTGTAAACAGAGATACATCCAGACACGGTTAGAGACATTTTCTGAGGCAGGATCAGGTGTAGGAAAGGGGGCGATTTCTTCCTTGGATAGTATTGGTCAGATGTACACATGGTCTGACTTGGTATGAAGCAGCTGCTTACCTTCCTGTGTGCATTTTGGGTAATGTCAAAACTGTCTTGCTCTCTCCAAGGTGGACCTGATATGGGAAGATGCATTATTCATGTTTGAATATTTTAAGCCCAAGACCCTTCCTGAATTTGACAGTTACAAGACCAGCACAGTTTCTGCTGACCTGGCCAACCTTCTGAAAAAAATGGCGACTATTGTCCCTCGAACAGATAAGCCCATGCTGAAGCTAGAGGAAGTTGCCAGCTACATTGAAGGCACTATGAGCAAGGTACAAAGGTCTCAATTCTGCAGTAAGATGAATAACAGGAAATAGAAGGAGAGGGAAACTGCTTCCCTTTCCTCCGCCTCCCAAATCTATTGCAGGTCTGGTGGATTTTCTGCAAACTGGTATCTTTCTTGCTTCTTCAGCAGAACCTAGGGTAAGCTTTGGTTTCCAAACGAAGTTCCAACTTGGAGCTCCTCCATTCTCACCTGAGTTGAGGAGCATGTTGATACTTGAAACTTTATTATTTTTTGCATTACTGTACCACCCCACAGGTGATGCTCTCACATACGGGGTAGGAAAACAACAGCTAGCTAAGAAGGAAAGAGTTTGTGTGACCAGTACTGGTGAAAATTCTTTTTCACTATTCTAGAAACATATTCAAAGAAATAATCTCTTCTTCCTCTGAATTAATTAATCAATTGCTCCTTTACAAGTGATATGTTTATAAAAGCTAGTAGATTTATTTGCTGCCACTGCTGCTCCAGTGTCTCAATGCATTGCCACCTGCGACTTCAAGCCAGCTCAACATTCACCTGGAGCGACCTTGTGGCAGGGGCTGCTGCCAGGAGAGAGGGAGACAGAGGGGAGAGGAGTGAGGCATGGCTGAGCAAACAGACGAACATCTCACCTGCAGTCCCTTCCAGACATCATCCCAGGGGCAGGGTTTGCCAGCGGCGTCCCGCTACTTCTTCTGGGGCCCTGTGCTGCCCACACAGCTATGCCCACCTGGTACTTGGTGCAACACCTGCATCACTTGGAGGGCTGGAAAGGGAGGGTGCCCATAGTCTATAAAAACACACTTTCTCTCAGCAGTCTTCCAGTTCAATCAGGGGCTAAGTTTGAGTGTTTGTAGCTAATATTGGGCACTCAGATTAGAAATTTTGCTGCTGTACCACCCACCTTGCTACCCAGCAATATCCCTGCCTGAGCTGACAGAGGTATTCTCAGATTCTGTGTTGAGGACCTCCAGAATGTTGCTCTCGGGGACCTGAACATCCATGCCAAGACTGCTTTTCCAGGGTGGCTCAAGACTTCATGGTTGCATGACAGCCATGGGGCTGTTTCCACACATCATCCGCCCAAAGCAGGAAATGTGACAGACTTAGTAATTGGTCTGTTCGACAGATCTGGCAGATGTGGTTCAGATGTGGAGGGACTAACTTTAACCCTGTTGTCATGGTCTGACCATTTTCTGGTGAGGTTTAGACTATAGGCACTATTTTCCCTCTGCAAGGATGGGGGACCCATTAAGTTGGTCTACCCCCAGAGACTGATGTATCTAAAGTGTTTCCAGAGGTCCCTGGAAGAATATTCAGCTGACATGGTTGGTGTGCCTGTCAAAGTCCAAGTTGCTCTGTGGAATGTGGAGATGACTCAGGCAGTTGACATGATTGTTCCTAAGCATCCTCTTCCATCTCACAGAGCCCAACCAGCTCCATTTTATAAAACTGAGCTCAGGGCAGTGAAGCAAGAGGAGAGTCAACTAGAGAGTAGATGAGGAGATCTTGAGACAAATCTGACTGAACATGGCTTAGAGATCATTGCAGAGCCTCTTCCTTGGCAATAAAAGTGGCATTTTGCCACTTCAATTGCTTCTTCTCAGTGTTGCTCAGCTGAACTTTTCCATATGGTTCGGGATCTCCTAGATAATGGAACACCAATTGAGACCTCTGAACCCTTGCTTGTTTGCTGTAATTAATTTACTTCTCACTTTGAAGACAAAAGTTGCTTGGATACATCATGGCTTGGACTCTACAGTTGATCTAGCCTCACTGAGAGAGGTGTCCAGAGTACCATCTTATCTGACTTTGATGGATGAGTTTCAGTTGATTCAGCAGCCTGATGACATGGACAAGGCACTTGGTTCTGTTCATGCCACCACTGGTCTACTTTAGTGGTTCTCAAGCACCAGTCCATGGACTGCTGCTGGTTCATGGGAGATTTCGTACCAGTCCTTTCGGGGGGCCACATCCTGCTTGTCACAGACCGGCACAAGGGCTAGCTGTGCTTCACCAATTCCAGCTGTGGAAAAGTTGAAAATCCCTGGTCTACTTGAACCTTGCCCATCTTGGCTTATCAAGAGAGCTAGCAAAGGAGTTTGCATCTGAGTCCAGAAGTTTGTCAATGCCTCATTGAGAGTGTCCCCATCTTCTTTGAAGGAAGCTGTGATAAGAACACTCCTTAAAAAAACAAACCTGGACCTAGGGGGCCATTGTAAAACATCGACCAGTTGCAAACATCCTTTTTCTGGACAAGGTGCTCGAGCGGGTGATGGCCAAGCAGCTCCAGTCACTCCAGTTTCCATGAAAACCCCATGGAAAATTCTAAAGGGCAAAATGATATGACGCCGGAAGATGAGGCCCTCAGGACAGAAGGTGTCCAATATGTTATAGGGGAAGAGCAGAGGGCTAGTACTAGTAGTGCCAGAAATAATGAAGCGACTGGATCAAAGCTGAAAGGACATTCAGTTGCAGATGTATCTGGTGGTGAAAGGAAAGTCCAATGCTGTAAAGAACAATATTGCATAGGAACCTCGAATGTAAGATCTATGAGTCAAGGTAAGCTGGATGTGGTCAAACATGAGATGGCAAGACTGAACATCGACATCTTGGGAATCAGCAAACTAAAACGGACAGGAATGGGTGAATTTAATTCAGATGACCATTAGGTATACTACTGTGGGCAAGAATCCCTTAGAAGAAAGCTAGGGAGTTCCAGAAAAATATCCACTTCTGCTTCATTGACTAAACTAAAGCCTTTGATTGTGTAAATCACAACAAATTGTGGAAAGCTCTTAAAGAGATGGGAGTACCAGACTACCTTACTTGTCTCCTGAGAAACCATGGAACAACTGATTGGTTCAATATTGGGAAAGGAGTATGGCAAGGCTGTATATTGTCTTACTGCTTATTTAACTTTTATTGATTGATTGATTTATATCCTGCCTTTTTCCTACAAAGGGCTCAAGGCAGCTCACATCATTCTCCTCCTCCATCTTATCCCCACAACAACAACCCTGTGAGGTAGGTTGGGCTGAGAGTCTGTGACTGGCCCAAAATCACCCAGTTGGGTCCATGGCTGAGCAGGGACTAGAACCCAGATCGTCTGAGTCCCAGTCCCATGCTCTTAACCACTACACCACACTGATGTAGAGTACATCATGCAAAAGAAATGCCAGGCTGGATGAATCACAAGTCAGAATTAAGATTGGTGGGAGAAACGAGTACATCCCACCACCTGCCTATTGGACCCTTGCCCATCTTGGCTACTTAACAACGCCAAACATGGGATAGGGACCTGGATCCGGGAGGTTGTCAACGCCTCTCTGAGGGATGGCCGGGTACCTGCCCCTTTAAAGGAGGCGGTAGTCTGACCAGTCCTAAAGAAGGGATCCCTGGATCCAAAGATGACCACCACTTATAGATCAGTGGCCAACATCCTGTTTTTGGGCAAGGTGTTGGAGCGGGTGGTGGCAGGACAACTCCAAGCACTCTTGGATGAAACTGATTATCTGGACCAATTTCAGTCTGGCTTCAGACCCGGGTATGGCACTGAATCTGCCTTGGTTGCCCTGTATGATGACCTGTGCAGGGAGAGAGCCAGGGAGAGCATCCCTGTTGGTCCTCCTGGACCTCTCAGCAGCTTTCGATACCATCGACCATGGTATCCTTCTGGATAGGCTAGCAGGACTGGAGGTTGGAAGCACTGCTTTGCAGTGGTTCCGCTCCTATCTCAATGGCCGATTCCAGAAGGTGGTGCTGGGGGACTATGGCTCTGCGCCATGGCAGTTATGCCATGGAGTTCCGCAGGGTTCCATTTTGTCCCCCTTGCTATTTAACATCTACATGAAACCGCTGGGAGAGGTCATCAGGAGGTGTAGACTGCAGAATCATCAGTACGCTGATGATACCCAGCTCTACCTCTTGTTTTCAACCAATCCAGGTGAGGCAGTGGCTGTACTGAACTGGTGCCTGGCCAAGGTAATGGGCTGGATGAGGGCCAATAAACTGAAGCTCAATCCAGACAAGACAGAGGTCTTGTTGGTAGGCGGCTCGGGCTTTGGAGAAGGGGACTTTGATCTTGTCCTGAATGGTGTTGCACTCCCTCTTAAGGACAAGGTCCGCAGCTTGGGAGTGCTCCTCTACCCAGAGCTTTCGCTGGAAGCTCAGGTGACAGTGGTGGCGAGGAGCGCTTTCTTTCAGCTTCGGCTGATCCATCAGCTGCACCCCTATCTGGAGTATGACTGCCTGGCGACAGTGACACACGCGTTGGTGACTTCCCGCCTTGACTTCTGTAACATGCTCTATGTGGGGCTGCCCTTGAAGACGGTCCGGATACTTCAATTGGTCCAAAATAGAGCTGACAGGTTGCGGACGGGGACTGGGCGTTATGTTCACATGACTCCAGTCCTCCGTCGGCTTCACTGGCTCCCCATTTAAGTCCGGGCCCAATTCAAGGTGTTAGTGATGACCTATAAAGCCCTAAACGGCTTGGGTCCTGGTTACCTGAAGGAGCGCTTACATCCATATATGCCTGCCCGCCCCCTGAGATCAGCGGGAGAGGCCCTTCTCTGAGAACCTTCAGTGAAGGAAATTAGGAGGGTGAGTACTCAGAGGAGGGCTTTCTCTGCCGTGGGGCCCAACCTATGGAATGCGCTCCCCAGAGAGGTCCGCCTGGCACCGTCGTTATTTGTTTTTCGGCACCAGGCCAAGACCTTTTTATTTAAACGTCATTTTAATTGTTGATTTTATTTATTGATTTTTACAACTTTAAAATCCTGAGAGACCCTTGGACTGCAAAGAGATCTAATCAGTCAATCCTAAAGGAAATCAACCCTTACTGTTATCTAGAAGGACAGATACTGAAACTGAAGCTCAAATCCTTTGGCCACGGATGAGAAGGAAGAACTCATTGGAAATGACCCTGGTGCTGGGAATGATTGAAGGCAAAAAGAGGATGAGATGGCTAGATGGAGTCATTGGTGCAGTGGGCGTGGGGTTGGG